TGATAGAATTTTTCTTGTGCCTGTTTGATTATCAACTTCTCTGCTCTCTGTTTTAGAGCTATATCTTTCAGACGGCAATGGTGCCACCCTTTGCAATGATCATTGTTATTTTTGTAGTGGAATGAACAAGCCACATGTATAAGTAGAGTAATGGGCCTAATCAAGCTTTCCCAAGATGAAAACTTGTTGGCTCTTTCCAAAAGGCAAAATTCATGTACATTTGTCTTCATAACAATCACTTTGTCCTCTTGTCTGAGTTCTTTATCCTGTTGAGGACTTACCAAGGGAAACCATTCTGGTACATCTACGTTGAATACTGAACAATGAGGACCTTTAAGCCATGGACAATCTTTCATGTTTCGTGCAGCTACCTGGCGTGTCCCATGGTCTGCAGGGTTCTTGCTTGTATGAACGTACTTCCATTGATGGGGATTAGAAAATTGCAAGATTTTAAACACCCTGTTTGCTACGTATGTATGAAAACGCCTAGTTGTGTTGTTTAGGTATCCTAAGACTATCTTGCTGTCCGAATGATAGGTCACCTCCTGAGAAGGTATATCGACTTCAGCACAGATTACTTTTGCTATCTCTATAGCCAATACGGCTGCACACAGCTCCAGTCTAGGGATTGTGTGTCCCGCTTTCGGTGCTAACCTCGACTTACCAAAGACAAAACTTGTGTGTCTCTGTTCACCCTCTTTACTGACCAAGTAGGCTACGGCGGCAACTGCTACTTCCGATGCGTCGCAAAACACATGAAGTCCAACCATTTCACCAAAGGTAAGTGGGTATGCACGTGGTACTGAAACGTTTTGTAGTTCTTTTAAATCATTTTTCCAAGATTTCCATTCTTGAAGGTAACAACCCGGCAACTCTTCATCCCAGTCTGTAGGTGAGGTGATCATTTTGCGAAATAGTACCTTTGCTTGAATCGTCACGGGAGCCACAAATCCCAAAGGATCAAACACTCCATTGATAGTGGACAACATACCTCGTTTTGTATATGGCTTCTCGCCTAAATCTATGTTAAAGGTAAACATGTCGTCTCCTAAACGCCACTGCACACCCAGTGTCCTTTGCAAAGGTACATCTTCCTCACCAATGTTGAAATCTCTAACACCCTGGACAATTTCCCCTGGTGCAAATGCATCCAACACCATTTGGGAATTAGAGGCAATCTTGTGAAGGTTAATCTGTGCTTGCTGCATCAGCACCTGCTTAGTTCGTTTCAGTAATGATATTGCAGACTCTGAATCCTTACATGAAACAAGGCCATCATCAACGTAAAAATGCCTGTTGACAAACTCTCTAACATCTGGTTCAGAATCCTTTACCACGTCCCTTAGTCCAAAGCATGCGACGGCTGGGGATGGGCTGTTTCCGAAAACATGTTTCCTCATTCTGTAGTCTATTAGCGGCTTATCGTAGTCATTATCTGCATACCAGAAAAAACGCAAAAAGTTCCTATGCTTTTCTGCGACTTCAAAGCAATAAAACATGGATTCTACATCCGCAGATACTGCAACAGCTTGTTTCCTAAAGCGCATTAACACACCAACTAAGTCATTGTTGAAGTCAGGTCCTTTAAGAAGCACCTTGTTTAGTGACAAACCACAAAATGTGGCCAAAGAATCAAAGACTCCCCTTATCTTGTCTTTCTTTTTTGGGTGGTACACACCAAACAACGGTAAAAACCAGCATTCTTCATCATTCTTCAATGGAGGAGCAACTTCTGCATGCCCTTTATTGATAACTCCATCCATGAAATCAAGCATGTGTTGTTTTTTAAGAGGATTTCTGTCCATGCTTTTCCTGAGTATTTGAGCTCGCGACCATGCTTGCTCTCTATTATTTGGGAGACGTTCTCTTGGCTTCTTGAAAGGCAGCGGTGCTGTCCACTTGCCATCCCGAAGTCCGCCTTCCTTCTCCATGATTTCAAGAAACTTTCTTTCTTCAACTGACAGACTGAGGAAATCATCTTTGTCATCAAATAATGTATGGATTTGAAATGTATTCGGACACGGTTGTAAAGTTGTGGGCCTACCAGTTATGAGTACCTGTGTGCGAAGTGTAGAGATAGTTTTTGGCCTATGAACTCCATTAAGACAAACTTCTCCAACAACTACCCATCCCAGATCCAGCCTCTGAGCCCATGGTGCATTGTTGGGCCCATTGCGTGTCTCTCTAACCTTATGTACTTGCGGGACATCACGTCCTAACAACAGCAGCACATCACTACCCTTATTCAAAGGTGGGATCTGTCCTGCTATGGACTTCAAGTGAGGAAAGGCCATTGCTACCTCTGGTGTAGCAATCTCCGACATATTTCCTGGGATTTCCGCACATTCTAGCAAGCTTGGTGCTTCTATCTTGGTCGCCCCATCAAGAGATTCCACAATAAGACCACTCAGATTTCTTCCCTTGGTTTCTCTTTCCCCATTACATGTCTTCATGGTGTAGTTTGACCATTCTCCAGAAACTCCCAACACATCAAAGATTCTGGTATCTGCTAATGATTTGTTGCTCTGATCATCAATGAGTATATAAACTTTGGCTCTCTTGTTAGGATTCTTTGCCATGTACACAGTGGCCAAACATATTTTCGCACATGAACGTCCTACTCCATCTCTGCATATTTCCATACAGTTGCTGGTCACAGGTTTTGTAGTAGCAGTGGTATTTGCTTGTGCTGGAATTTGAGTTGTCTGTTGTTCACGATTATGGATATGCATCACTCCTAGGTGTCGGGGGCTACTGCAAACTCCACACTTGATCTCGGCTTTACACTCCCTTGAGAAATGAGTCGTAGATGCCAGACATCTGAAACACACCTTGTGCTTCTTTATAAACTGCTTTCTTTCAGCATCGGACTTTGATAGGAATGTTCTGCATTTTATAAACGGATGCGATCCTTGATGGATGGGGCACATGAAGACACCTTCTCCATTGACACCGCTTTCTACAGTAGTTTGTCTTACGGTGACCGTCGTACGTTTAGGCTTCACTTCCATTCTCGGAGATTCCATTCCTGTGGCTGTCCTTCCTACAGCTCCAAATATTGGGTCATTGACCTTCTTAGCTTCCTTTTGCACAAATTTTACAAAGTCCCTGAATAGGACAGGCTTCTTGTTTTCCTTTAGGTTCAATGCTATATTCCGCCATCTGTCATGTAGGTAGACTGGTAGTTTGAACATTAACCTCTTCAAGTGTTCAGGATACTCCAAAATTTTGCTTGCATTTACATGCTCTGCTGCATTCATGCATTCTACTAGGAATAAGGCATATTCATCTAGAGCCTTTGGTTCTCCTGGCCTAATAGTAGGCCATTCTAATGCTTTCTTTATGTAAGTGCTTGCGATGACTTCGTTGTCACCATATCTGTCTGAAAGTTGATCCATAGCCGCTTGATAGGCTTTTTCACTGGGAAGATGACTGAAACCACAAACAACCTTGTTGGCCTCCCCCGTAGTTAGTTCCTCCAAATATGTCATTCTCTCTTCACTAGTATCAGTATTTGATACTATTCTACTTTTGAATTGCCTGATAAATTTAGGAAAATCGATGGGGTTTCCAGAAAATCATTTAACTTCATGTTTTGGCTTCTTCATATTTTTCACGATCTCACTTAATCCAATGCAAGTTTCATTGGATGATGGATTAATCTGCTTTTTGACATACTCCATTGGTGAGGGATTAATTCCTCCGCAATCAACTACTGAACATTCTGGTGTGACATCCAATGCTGGCATTGGTGTTGGTATTATATTATTGCTGTTAGGCAATGCCATTACGTACTCAGACACTCTCTTTGCAGGCTCTTCTGCTGGCAGGCTACGTAACTCAGTTCGACTATGACTTTTAATCTCGTCGTCAAGCACTGATGCCCTAGCCTCGGCTGCTGCCAGGGATTCCTCTTGCTGTAGGCGTTCCAATTCCAATTGCGCTTTTAACGCCTCTATTTTTGCTTCTGCCTTTTTCTTTGCAAAAGCTGACCGTGCAGCTTCCATCGCTGCATCAGCACGGGCTTGTGCCGCTGTCAGTTCAAGTTGACTCAGTTTACTAGTTGTGCTCGACATCTTCCGTAGTAGATCTCGTATACAGCTTTTTACTATAGAGGACGCAAATGACTGACTCAAAATTGCTCCTCTAGTATAACCCTTTTATTGCTTGTTCACAAACCCTGTTTGATCACTCGCATTTGTTTGCGTGGTAACTGTAAATAACAATAAAATTACATACTGTATCATCA